AGCGGAGAAAAGTCTCGCCTACCATCAAGGGTTTCGCTAAGCTCTTCGTTTTTCACAACAACTGAGACGATTTAAGATCGCCTAGCTGGGTTTCGTACAGGAGTTTCATAACTTGTTGTCTGCCGGATAATCCTGTTCTTTTCCGAATAACGGTCTTGACTATTTTATGTTTTCTGTTCCTTTGGCAGGTCCAGAATGTTGTCGAGGTCGTCCACAACAGATGGCGGGAGTGCTGTTAGTAGATAGTGAAGCTTAATGCATTCGGAATTGGCACCGCGCAGCAAAAATTGAGGTTCTGGTTGAGCGAATCAGTAGTCAGGATTATTCTCGAGGAAGGGCGGGATAGGTAGCTTGACTCTATTAACCTGGTCGACGGTACCTGACTGAATGATCGTCGTGGTTAAAAATACGGGGCCAGTAAAAATGAACGCAACCATACAGAACAAAAGAATAGGCAGGCGGGATAGTTTACCGGGTCTAAAAAGGAAATTTAGTAAAACCTGACCAATTTTGCGGGGACACCAATTATAGCGCGTCGATTGTGCGCTATATATCAGATTCGCGACCAATAGAGTGCGCACGAGGGAACGCATGAACATATGCTAGAAAAGATTTATTGGACGGTATCTTAAGTGGCTACAGCTGAAAACAGGACACCAGAGGAGAGCTAGCTGGGGAGGATATGGACGTGGATCAAGTGCAAGAACGAGCGCCAGGCAACAGGTCGCGTCCAATTGACCGCAAAAGCGCAGACCCGCGTTGTGTATGTGCCTCAAACAAACTAGAGCAAAATTGGAACAAACACCGCCTAAATCCTCCTAATACATAAGTAAACTATAATTTTAGAATATTTTAACATAATTTACTCAGCCATACGGGGAATCTCTAGGTCACTACACACCTAAGCTAGTGCCTCATTCGGGAGGCGGATGGAGCTATGCACAGCGAACTGTATTAGTAAGGACGAAAAGAAGATTTTAGCGGATAAGCAAACAGAAGCAAGCGTCAACGTAGCAATTTATAGACTAGACAGGAAACAATACGGATACAAACGAGGATGAACGAAGAGTGGGTAGCAATAAAAAATGGACAAACAATGCACAGTGGTGTCATCAAAAAGTTTGCATAAAGCTAAGGTTTATCTTTAGGATGGCTACTGGATTTGAAGTGAGAGTGGTCAGATGAAATGGACACAGCACATAAGCGTTCAACGAATAAATTTAGCTGTTTAACTGCAGCAGCAAGTAGTACATAATGCGTTGTAAATGTGTATGTTTCTGGTAGTCTTGGTCTTATCTCGCACTAGTTTACACATATACATTTTTTGTTTTGTATCGTCCGCCATCGCAGCTTAATTCACTATGGCAATCCAACGCTGTTGGATAGCAATTGGGTTACTACTGCGTAATCAATGACACGTAAAAGACGTGTCAACTACGGGACAGTATAGAAGTTGGAGGTGACTGAACCCAACGTGTATTGTGCCAGCTACAAAGTAGGAAACGTGTCAGCAGGAGCGAGAAACGGTGCAGCAAGTAGCTTACTAAAGCAGTTTGTGAAAACGAAATTGCCATCAGTAAAACAAGTGGATGTTTTTCAGGTTAAACAATGGTAAAATGCAATGTTATAATATACTTAAAGGGTGTGCTTCTCAGTACAATACCAGGTCCTCACTCTAGAAAGCTGAAGGATGGAAGCCTTTGACAGAGCTGTTACTGGGGGAAAATGCGAGGTGCGGATGTGCGCAAATAGTAGCATGGGCTTGAACATGGGATTCCAAGGTGGGATGTGTAGCGCAGTTTGCCGAGTTTTTTTATATATGATTATCGTGTGGACCAGATCGCATCATCGATGGGCTGTCAAAGCGGGCTCGCCGGACTGCAAAAATACTGGCTAGTCTAGAAAAATGGCCGACAGGACATTCCTTCCACTGCAGACCCTACGGTACACTTCGGAGGTGTCACTACCCCCACCGCACTCCAATCCACGGCCCTTGTCACACGAAGAAATCCGGGAGTCCTCGTCGGCAACGCCAAGCCAGGCGTTTGGGGACCAGTACGTACGTGGCCGTCCGCGGTCGAGGGCGGCTGACTGTTTCTTGGGTTAAGATGGGGCTCTGAGCCGGCTGGCAAGTCACTCGGGGGTTGTGTTGAGCCGGTTGGCGAGTCACTCGTGGGTTGCCTTGGCAGTTTCGGTGGTTGAGTTTCTTTATGGTAGAACTCAGAGTGGGTGGGCAAGGGTCGGGGGAAGTGGCCTGACTCCGGGGACGGAACATGGCATTCATGAGGAAATGAAATACACTTTTTATTTTTGCAAAATGTTTTTGGGTTTTTTTTCGTCGATTTGTGGTTGTGACGCACAATCTCCACTAATGCCGAAAAAGGCGTGTCAATGGAAATAGCGAACTGTAGAACATTCTCAAGGATTAATCAAGAACACCAGTCTGAGGCAAACAACTATTTTCTATGATTCATCTGCGCGCCTGTACAAGTCATATATATTGTTAAAATACGGTGATTAGTTCAGCTGTAGGTCAATCGCTAGACAGCAGGTAGTTGGTCGCTGTCTTTATAGGACTAGTCCATATTAGTCCGAGAGTGTCCTTGCTCTGGTGCGGATATTAGAAAACCGGAACAACGGACACAACGGATTGTATTGGTTGGGACAGTACAGCTCCGATTGCAACGTTTCTTACATCGACCGCCACCGTAAATTGTTCTCCAGGGTTGGGTAGCCGTAAACATGCTGGTGCATCTGCAACGTACTGCTTAAGGTCGTTGAAGGCCCGATCTGCTTCAGGTGTCCACGCGAACGATTGGTTTTTATACAAAAGTTTTAACAAGGGGCTAATCTTCTCCTCAAAATGGGGCACGAACGTCGAGTCAAACGTTACCATACCGAGGAATGACCAGAGCTGACGCTTCGATTTCGGGGCTACGAAATTCTTGATTGCTTTGCGTTTCTCTGGAAGCGGCTGAATCTGGCCATTCCCGACAATGTGACCCAAACATACAATCGACTTTTGAGCAATCTGTGACTTTTTGCGACTGAACTTCAAGCCGGCTTCCTCCAATCTTTGTAATACCGCTGCGAGCCGTGCACCATGATCATCTTCCGTCTCCGAGAACATAATGTCATCCCCATAAACAACCACATTTTTGAGGTTTTTCAGAACCATAAGTAGTAAGCGTCTGAATGTTGCCGGGCGTTGCACAGTCCAAAGGGCATTCTCGAGAATTCGTACTGTTGGCCATTCACGCTGAAAGCTGTTTTATACCTGTCTTCCTCTGCAATGGGGAGTCGCCAATAACCCGAACGTAGGTCTATCAATGAAATCAGCTTGGCATTGTGAAGATTGGAAAAAATTTCTTCCATTTGGGGCACTGGAAAACCGTCTTTCACCGTAACTCTATTCAGCTCCCTGAAATCGATGCAGAATCTGTAGCTTCCGTCTGCCTTTCTCGTCAACAACACGGGAGATGAATACGGACTTTTTGTTCGTCTGATGATGCCTTTGGCTTCCATTTCAGCCACCTGTTTCTGTATATGCGCCAAAGTGTTTCGCGGTATCCGCCTGAAAATCGGCTTGCA